AGAACTTGGTGGTACATGGTTTGAGAATACGTTAGAATTCCTATATACCTGCTTCTCTAAAACTTCGATAACTATATTGACTGATGGGATATAAATAGATATCCTGGATGCCGATGCGATGTGGTATGACCATCATCAAACCCGAAGCTACTTTACAACCTTTTTACTTACTATTTTATGATAATAGCCGATAGTTAACTTCCAGTTCTCGTGGCATCCAAACCCAGCGTGGACAAGCTAGTAGGTGTAAACAGTTGACAGACCTTTTTAACTGGGAGCCTTGTTAACCTATAAAACGTTATTGGAACAGTTATGTATCACAAAAGGAGATTCTGGACTACCTACATCACGCAGTTTCTCATCACAATCTTGACACAGGCGTGAAACTGAACCACCGTGTCACTGGTGCATGGTGGGAGCAAGATAAAGGTCGGTGGAAAGTTGAGATACAGCCAAACGATGATCCTGGCTCCAAATTTTATGACTATTCCGAAATCTTAATCAACGCTACTGGAGTTTTGAAGTAAGACCGTGAAAAGAAATCATTTTATTTGATTAGTACTAATTATCTGATAGCAACTGGAAATGGCCAGATATCACCGGCCTTGAGAAATTTAAGAATAAAGTGCACTCAGCCGCTTGGGACGACTCAATTGAACTCGACAATAAGAATGTTGGAATCATCGGAAACGGCAGTAGCGCCGTCCAAATTCTAACTTCTGTATTTCCCAGTATGTTCTCCTATCATCTTTCTCCTCAGACGAAAGTTCGAACTATTAATACGGTGTTTTAACAGAGGTGAAACATATCGACAACTTCCTACGCTCACCAACATGGGTCACGACAGGAATGGCTGTCAAGTACGCTAGCCAGGATACAGTGAATTTCAAATGTGTTTAAAGACATCTCCGATTTATAGGTATTGCCGCAATACTAACAAGTCAACAGTTAGCGAAGAGCAAAAGAGAATCTTTACTGAGCAACCAGAAGAGTATCTCGCGTACCGAAAGGCCGTTGAGATGGAGATGAACCCAGACTTTTCCATCGTATGTATATCTAACCCATCGCCACGGACCTTAGGTAATTCAACTAACTACGGAGCAGGCAATTAAAGGAACTAAGAAGCAGCTAGAACTTGCCGAGGTAGGAATGACATATTGCAGAATACGAGAGAACGGAGCTTGGTAGCCTACTTCTAACTCTTGTTATAGTTTGCCAGGAAGGACATGCAGCGCAAGCTGGTAGCGAAACCAGAATTAGTCGAAAAGCTTATTCCCCCGGATTTTTCCGTAGGCTGTAGGGTAAGCTCAGAAGTTTTCTCGTGTACGATATATTTTCCTTTATATTCTTCTAACAATACAATATAGAGGCCAATACCAGACAACGGATACCTAAAGGCACTTACGAGTAAGAAGTGCAATGTAACATTCTCTAGAATAGTAGAAGTTACGGAAGAAGGAGTTACTACTGAGGACGGAGTAAATCACAAGCTCGATGTACTCGTCTGCGCCACCGGCTTTGACGTGTCGTTTAGGCCTAGGTTTCCCATCATCGGAAAAGATGGCGTTGACATGCGGGAGTCTTTTAAAGACTCCCCACAAACGTACCTGAGCACTATGGCACCCGACTTCCCCAACTATTTTAGTAAGTGTACGCTTTAAAAGTGTGATAAGTACTTGTACTGATGATTTGATGATAGTGGTTGTTGGGCCGTTTGGTCCCTACGGTCACGGCTCCATCATCCCAGCTATGGAAGCCCTCACGAGGCACGTCGCCTTGGTTCTGGAGAAGTTCCAAACCCAGAATATCAAGTCGTTAGTGCCAAAGAAAGATGCAGTAGCCGAGTTCAGGCAACATCAGGAGCTCTACATGAAGCGAACCATTTGGAACGCGCCTTGTCGGTCGTGGTTCAAGCTGGGTCCGCAGGGTGAGCATATCATGATGTGGCCAGGTAGTCGTCTCCATAGCTTCGATATCCTGTTGAACCCACGTTGGGAGGTAAGTGACGCATATTGTCGTTTACAAGGCACTAACCACTAATAATATCACAGGACTATGAGTGGGAATATTTGATGGGAAACAGATATAGCTACTGGGGAAATGGTTTCACCACGCTAGACGTTGAGGATGAGGGGGTTGATAAAGCATGGTACATTGCGGGTATATAATTGACCCCTTTTCTTTCGTTGAGGTTTGTTTTGATCTAGGAAGAACAGGGGATGAATAGACAAATCAATGAGGAATACGATCTGTTATATATGGCAATACAGTGGGCCTGGTTAAAAATGACTGACTGTGGTACATATTCACTAATGTACTGCTTCAAGAATGATAGTTCCTAAAAGAGCGTGTATTTAGATTAGTCGCCGGCTAACTAACTAAGTTGGTAGGAAGCTTTATAGTATATCCCTGGGATGACTGGAAGCATCAATGCTCCATGTTCCAGGGGGTACGCGATTTCAAAGTGTCGTAATTTTAGTTGAGTCTTAATGAAAGTCGTAGTCAGTGACTCTTCTCCGTCTCTTGGTCTTCTTGTTTGCTCTCCCAAGTCCATCCGTCACGATATAGATGGACCATTTGTACCTACGGATTGACATTCTTTAGTTATTCTCCGACCCGAGGATGGTCCAAACGCCCTTGTTTCCTTTATCATCAGTTGCTTCGACAGTATTATCATCAGAACCGCCATCTAATAGCAAGGTTAGTACACGATCAAAATATGCGGTGACTGAACCGACATTTAAGAGTTACGAGCCCCGAATCTGGGAAGCTGGCAGAACTGGTGACTGTGAAGGTTTTGGGGGGCGGGTTATTCCCGTTGAACGTGGTAGTAAGCTTCATGGAGGTCCCGCTGTGCGGACCTGAGACCTCGTTGTTAATAATATCTTCAGCGCCATTGAAGTGAAGATTGACGCTTGTAACAGCACCGTTCAACTTGGCGTTGATATAGTTGTTGGTGAACTCGATGGAAGAAGACATTTTAACTGCGGCGAAGTTCAAAGAGCTGGATTTTGGATGGTAAACTTTCGGGGTCTGGTATTCTTGATGTGGTTGATGAAGATAGGAATTAAAACAAGTTCAAGATGAACCTGGACGCTATATTTATACATATACAGTCGCGGCTTGAAATTTTCCACATAGATCACCGGGTGTTACTAAATATGGTGAAATAAGATTCTTTACAGCCAGCAAGAAGCCTTGTCAACAGCGTAAAAGCCTCCGTGGACCAAGTTGTGTTTTCGATTTTCCATTTTAGTTCGATATTCAGCTCTCATGTCTTTTGGGAGGAAAAGGAAGATATCTCAAAAGAGACATTTCGAACATATTAACGCTTGTCAACATTGAAATCAGGACATGCTATCTATCTTGTACGAATTGGTAAAATTGCAGGTTGCATACGCCAGCATCTTTATTCCGTCCACATCATTTGCTTGCGCTTGGCAGATCGTCAATATCCGTTGTGCTATCATGGACATGATGTTTGGTATGTAACTTGCGATCGTGTGTACTAGTATGGTGTCTCCATTATTGAGGAGATGTTTACCGCCAGTGTTCATTTTGTAAAATCGGTAGGAGTCACATTGTGATAACACGTATCATAGTTAGAGAAGGATTACATGTATTATTTTGATTGTACTTATACCTGCATAGTTTATTCTAATTATCAATCTGTCTATTACCTATTCCCTTCATCATCTGTTGTTAACTTACCTGGATTGTATATAGCCTCTTCTTTTCATCGAACTCGGGTTTCCGTCTGCTATTTTAATGTAGCCAGGAGTTTCACTGTCTACAGGCATACTGTTTCAACTATCATGCGGCTCTCGTGTCCCAAATTAAAGGTGTGTAGGCGGCTATACTAGCTACCTACGTACAATATAGCATTCGCCATGCAACTGTGGGATACACCAAACTGACCAGCTAATGATCTGCCCCCCTAACGCCCTCCAAGTCATACTTACGTAAGACAATATATATTTATTCTAACTTACTGGCAACCTCTACACCTGTATGGATGGACGGGGGATATGAACGGATGGGGAAAATAATCAAATAGGGCTTGTAGAGAAATCTACGCTCCCGCTCAACAAACCCCGAGTTAGATGGGAAAGTACTTGCGAGGAATACTAAACTATCTTGCCAACATTTAGACTAATTTACCGTCTACAAGAGCGCTGATAGATGTGAGTGTAAATTGCTAAGGCCAAAAGAAAATAAAAAGAATCAAATTTCTTCTTCTTGGCCACGATATCAGCCCCCGGAGGTGTCGGCCTCTTTGGGATCTTGCTCATATTGACTAACGAATGAGGATGATATTTAATTTCTCGTCGCGATGTGTTGCCTTTGAGTTTCATCAGTAAATATAGAAAGCTGCGGCCATATGTTACCTAGGCATTGAGGAAGCTCTACATGCTAGATGTCTCATCTACCTAGGATTCTGACAATTTTCCCAAAGGCATAAGTAAGAAAAATATTACATCTTTGAAAGTTTAGTTGCGCGCGTTTGTGTGGTGTTGTGAATACAAAAAAAAAATTTCGTCTCCTAAGATGGGCGTCTCTTTCATTGGCCAATCTCACCATACCGCCCGGCAATATTCTCACAATATCTATACGAATAATTTCGTAAGATCTTGTTGGATATCGTTAGGATGAAAGGGTTCAAGACGTTGGTTCTTGTAACAGTCCCAACTATGTTATTTTTCACTAGGCAGTTAACCCTTAGGTTCCTGTTAAGTAATGTTGCAACAATTGGTGAATTAATTAGAAGGCATCTAGGTAGTTGTCAGCCTAGATCCTTTGGTCTAGTGTAGCGCTATTATTCAATGGACCTTGAGTCTAAGCTCAAAGCCCCAAGCCCCACTACACTTTCATTTAGGTACTCTCTAAAAGCCAAGCGCACACACCAATATAAGCGTCAAAAATCGGCTGAAACAAACACAACGGGCATAGCTCAAGAGTCTCACGACTCAAGAGGCCTGCAGCTTTCAAAGCTATAATCGGCGGGGATAGCTCAGTTGGGAGAGCGTCAGACTGAAGTGAAGACGTCAGACTTCATGAAGACTTCAGTTTCTTTCTAAGATCATCTGAAGGTCGTGCGTTCGATCCGCACTCACCGCATTAGTTTTGCTTCTCATCTTCAATCTTGCAATCCGAAGAGGGTTAACATTTTCTTTTTGCATTTTTTGGGTTGAGGTAACAAGTTTTGGTCGTAAGTTTTGATCAAACGTTAATTCCCTTATCTGACAAATATGTTATGCATCTGATCCGTACTTGCCTTAATGATTTAGACTTTTTGTTTCATTATTTTTCAAGCAAGAACATGCATTGTGGTACGGAATACAGAGGTACTTACGGCACTGCAATGCAAGCCTAAGCACTTGATTTACATACGTAGGTAGTACGCTGTACGCACTACGCACTACGCACTACGCAGTTAAGCAGAATAAGCAAATAGGCAAACGATCCAATCAGAATTCTTCAGTTCATAATTTTTCACGTTTACCCTCGCTCGTAGTGGCTCATCAGCGGTTCAGCCACGATTCACCCCTCATTACCGACCCTATGTTAGGTAATTTTCGATACCCCACCGAACTTTCAAATGTCGAACTTTGAAATACAAACTTGCAACTTTTCCACGAGGCGCATTTTTGTCGCAACGCTTTTGTAGCAGCATACCGTATTCAACTTTACCCATATTCCTTGCATCGCCGGCCCCGCGATAGATATCAGGTGGTATTTTACTTGAATTCCATCCTTTAACCTCATATCCCATCGCGAGGAGCCTGTCATCATATTCCTCCACAATGGCTACCAAGCTCACCCGGTACGTAAACCATGCCATATGCCATGCCGCTTGACGCACATTGAGGTCGTTTCCATTCTGTACCACCGTATGCTAACTATTATTCCTTAGTATTGCCATCGTGAACGATGACAAGGTGCGTTCTTCGATACATTTCCCCTTCCCCTTATCATAGTGAGAATTTTAGCTAATATGTAATATCTCGCAGTGCAAGCCCAAGGTATATATATATTAACTTCTTGACAGAGTATTAATGCCTTATGATGATGACGCTTATTTTCTATAGAAATGTCGCCAAGAATGTAAAAGGTCCTGCCCGGTATGTGATCTTTCCTTCCCCTTCCCGTTAGTAATTATGCTATATAAGAATTCGCGGGCTTTGGCGAACCGGTAACTCATCGTATCCCCGGCAGGTCGTTCGTAGCGGAAAGCTTTGCATTGAAGTCAACCCGGACTCCAAGATTGCCTTCATCTCTGAAAGTCTTTGCATTGGATGTGGTATCTGCCCTAAGAAGTGCCCTTTCGATGCTATTACTATCATCAACCTGCCTACCAACCTCGAAACACAAGTCACCCACCGATACTCTGCAAACAGCTTCAAACTCCACCGGTTGCCGACACCACGACCTGGTCAGGTGCTGGGTCTCGTCGGAACCAACGGTATCGGAAAGAGTACTGCGCTGAAAATACTTAGCGGCAAGCTCAAGCCTAACTTGGGAAGATATGAAAACCCGCCAGACTGGGAAGATGTCATCAAGTACTTCAGAGGATCCGAGCTACAAAGTCAGTCGACATGTATTCGCCTTCTAATTTTTACTAACATATAACATAGACTACTTCACCAAGGTCCTCGAAGATGACTTAAAGGCCGTTGTTAAGCCCCAGTACGTTGACCAGCTCCCGCGAGCTGTCAAGACGCCCAACAAGAGTGTCAAGTTCCTCCTCGAACACAGATCCGCAATGGGCAACATGGATGAGGTTCTTGATGTCTTGGAGCTTCGCCATATCCTGGATCGTGATGTCAACCTCCTCTCTGGTGGAGAGTTGCAGCGATTCGCCATTGGAACAGTCTGTGTACAGAAGGCCGACGTATACATGTTTGACGAGCCGTCTTCTTATCTCGATGTCAAGCAGCGTCTTTCTGCCGCGCGAATGATCCGTTCTTTGCTCGGCCCGGATAACTACGTCATTGTCGTCGAACACGACTTGTCAGTCCTTGACTATCTCTCTGATTATATCTGTGTTCTCTACGGTAAACCCGCCGTATATGGTGTCGTTACCCTCCCTCATTCGGTTCGCGAAGGCATCAACATCTTCCTTGACGGTCACATCCCCACTGAGAACTTGCGATTCCGAGAAGAATCTTTGACGTTCCGCATCTCAGAGGGCACTGATGACTTCCAAGCCGACAAGGCTCGCGCCTTCAGCTACCCAAAGATGGAGAAGACCCTCGGAAACTTCAGGCTCAACATTGACGGTGGTGAATTTACCGACTCGGAAATCATTGTCATGATGGGTGAAAATGGTACAGGAAAAACTACTTTCTGTAGGTTGTTGGCTGGTGCTCTGAAACCTGACAATGCCAAGAAGGTTCCCGAAATGAGAATTAGCATGAAGCCTCAGACTATTACTCCCAAGTTCGAGGGTACCGTTCGACAGCTATTCTTCAAGCGAATCAAGCAGGCCTTCCTCTCCCCGCAGTTCCAGACTGATGTTGTCAAGCCTCTCAAGCTAGACGATTTCATCGACCAAGAAGTCAAGAACTTATCAGGTGGTGAATTGCAGCGTGTCGCCATTGTCATGGCACTTGGATTACCGGCTGATATCTACTTGATTGATGAGCCCTCTGCCTACTTGGATTCCGAGCAGCGTATCATTGCAGCACGTGTAATCAAGCGCTTCATCATGCACGCCAAGAAGACGGCTTTCATCGTAGAACACGATTTCATCATGGCTACATACTTGGCGGACCGCGTTATTGTATTTGACGGAAAGCCGGGTATCGATGCCCATGCTAACACGCCCGAGTCGCTGCTCACTGGATGCAACACTTTCCTGAAGAACTTGGATGTTACTTTCCGCCGCGACCCGACGAATTACAGGCCTCGTATCAACAAGCTGAACAGTCAGTTGGACCAGGAGCAGAAGTTGAGTGGAAACTACGTAAGTTAAAATGACCCCCTATTTTATGACGCTTATCGCTAACATCGTCGGTAGTTCTTCTTGGAGGAAGACAGCTCTTGAAACGGGCGTCCCACACGATAACGGCCAGCATGAGGGCCACAAGCATCATCATAATACCCCATCAGCATCGGATACCGGCGTTCTAGGCGTACAAAAAGGGGGTTTATCGCGCCGAGAGAATGGAAGCGCGCATGAGATATCCGGCATGGATGCGGATGGTGGGGAGGAATGCGATGATCCGGACGAACAATGATGGCGACGACGGTCCAGCCCCTATCTGTCTGGTTCTGCAGAGTGGGATTCTAGAGGCTTCTCTGGTTATTTGATAAGTTAAGAAGGTCTTTTGAGCACGATTTGTCGTGCTGCATGGACTGAATCGACAGTACTAGATCCGCTAGCTGAAGAATGAGGGACGAATGGGTTGAGCGGGCGGCTGTCGTCGCATCTATTGAATGGCATATTGGTTGACATACATGTATGTCATTGAGGTCTTACGATCATCGCAACGGAGGAGATAGATAGAGATAGCCCAAGGGGCAGAGGCGAGGCAGAAATATACGAAGTGCTCATCAGATCAAATTCACTTCCCTCGCGCATTCTAATGAACCGAGAATTATTCATTTGACATTAATCGAGAGGCTTTATACTAATTAATGCGTTGCGTAGACACTCAATACTTCGACATATTAGATACGCAGAAGGCAGCAGCCCTTGAATGGAGTCGCTTGCACGTAGTCGTTTTACAATCTACTTCAGCTATCAAACAAATTCCATTTCATCAAAGACCGGATGAGCAATATAGATAAAAATTCGGGATTATTACGCTATTTACTAAGATCCGATTTTTTTTCTCTATTAGGGCAGAGGAGGGAAAGGATACACACCGAGATAACGTGGTTATTCCAAAGAGCTTTTCTTCTTTTTTGTGTAATCCGGTTTACCGGAACCGGAGCCGCCATATTTTTTTGCTTCTCACTCTCACTCCCCCCCGTATTATACGTCCTGTGGAAGTGTGAGAAACATCTTGGATGCGTCAAGAAAATACAACAACGACGAAAGTCGACGTCATAAATGAAACGTACAGGGAGATGTGCGACTTCTTTTTTTTCTCTTATTCTTCCAGTTTTTATTCACGGCGAAACTTTTATATGGAAAGGCGAGTAAATGTACGATTGGTGCTAGTGTGTGTTTGGTTGGTTGGTTGGTTGGTTGGTTGGTTGGTTGGTTGGTTGGTTGATTTCGAACTGCATTCATGTGTCCCAAGTCATCTAAGCTCCAAGAACGTAGTCGGAAGTTGACACGTACTTTTAGATGTATTTGATGAGCCTTAGTGAGTAAGACTAGAGTTGTAAGACCTGTATCTTTGCTGTTGGATGTTTAGGCAAGGTGAATGCTGTGATCATGAAGAGATTCGGGCCGCTACCGTCTGGTCTTGGCGTCAAGTTACTACCAGGGATGAGAAGGTATAAAACAATTAGAAGGTGGGGGGTAATATCAAAGATAGATTTGTGCAGGTCAAAAGACTAGTCTTCTTCAATTTCGCCCTCTTCGCTACCGGAGTGCACGCCGGAATCGTCCTTGGAAGGGGGTTGAACTGCAGGCGGGGTCCTAGTTTTATGACGAGCATCACGATGGGGGGAACGCTCACGGGGTGTTCTCTCTCTTCTCAGCCTCTGTATTTGTGTTAGTACATTGAGCCTAAAAATAGGGATAACTGAATCATACCTTAGAGTCTCTAGAGTCGCGACGATCAATATCGTCATCGTCGTCGACCCGACGGCGTCGAGAAGATGTCGGCCGCTCATCACCGTAAGGAAGCTCTTCGACAGGACCTCTCTCAACGCGACGCCGATACTGCCGCTCGCGTTCTTCCTCGCGATCCCGTCTTTCTCTATCATAATGGCTTGGAGGATCATCACGTCGAGATCGAGGTGGATAGTCCCTGTCTCGATCTCTCTCCCGGTCGCGGTCCCGATCCCGTTCCCGTTCCCGTTCACGATCCCGTTCCCGGTCCCTGTCACGCTCACGGTCTCTATCACGGTCCCGGACATCGCGGTCTCGGTAAGAATCCGACGGCCGGCGGTCAGATAACAAACTCTCAGCCATGCTAGACTTACGATAATTCTTCTCG